AACTTCTAAGACTGAACCTTGGTGTGGATAAATATCCCTGAAGTTTTCTTTGAAAAGCTGGAAGCAAGTCTAGTGTAAAGAATGGTAGCTGTAATAAAGGTAAAGAGTGGACGTACTAAATATTGAACAATTTGATATTAGATGTGAAGAATTGAAAAGGCTGGTCATAGTAATGGGGGATGCAGAGTAAACAGAAGCTTGTGCCAGTAATGGGCAGGGATAGAGGAGATGCTGTTAGACTGAGAGAGAGAGAGAGAGAGAGAGAGAGATGCAGTGGGTGACAGCAGGAGAAGGGGAGGTAGAGTTTATGGTGCATGATTAGCGTCTTCATTGATCTGCTGTGTAAAGCCATCATTCCTGACCACTGAACACGGAGCGAGAGATAGGAGAAAAAGAGAGAGATTTACTCAGAGGGAGGAGAGAAAGAGAGGCAGGACTCTGTGTGCACTTTATACAGTTACAGTTGTGTGCACATGTTTGTGCACCCCTGGTGAAAATAAGTTAACATTCTCTGTAAACATTTTAATGCACAGTTATACTTCATGTACATATATGCATATATTTGAAGTCAGTAGACTGGCAAGACCAGTGGTCTCCAACCCTTGTCCTTGAGAGCAACCTTCCAGCAGAGCCTAGTTCCAACCACAATCTGCCACACCTGCTCCAGCTAATCAACCTCTTCCCAAGTCCCTGATTGGCTAAATCAGATGTATTAGAATTAAAGGGCAAGGCAGCTTATTGAATACAGGTTAGAACCAACCTCTGCAGGAAGGTTGCTCTCCAGGAGGAAGGTTGAAGACCACAGGCCTAAACCATGCAAGCACTTTTAGATTCTATAGAAACGAGTCTTAAGTTATTTTAGTTGCATGTTTGGGGTCATTGTCTTGTTGAAACGTCCATCTTCTCCTTGGATTCAGTTTAGGATTAAATTCTCTCCTATCTCCAGTACCACCAGTACATCGCTCCCTTCGTGTTTCCTTCGTTGACGTGTAATGGCTTAGTGCTGTTTGCAGACATGCAGCTCCATATTATGATGCTCCCACCTTCGTACTTCACTGTGGGGATGGTGTTCTTGGCATCATTCGGAGCTTTCTCCAAACATTTGCATCTTTAGCACCTGTCTCTGGGCGAATAGTTGTGGTATCATAAGCTTTGCACTTGCATGTCATCGAAACTGTTGCGCTGACAGGGTTGTTTAACCCCTTAAAATCCCAGGCTTACTACATGCTAAGGCTTATTGTTCAGTAACTACAGGGACTGCAATGCAAACTGGTTGAGCTATTCCTAGGCCTTAGAAGTGTGTAATAAAACCTGTGGGCCCTGGCTATTTAAGTGGTTAAGGTCTTTGTTATGGCTCTGTTCGAGGTGGGCAACATGACAGTATTGTAGCTTCAGTGCAGAAGAAGGAGCGGAAAACATTCCCTGTACTGACAAATGCTCTTTTTTGAACAGGCACTTCAACAGCAAGTCTTTACAAAGACCAGAAATGCCCAGCCCAGTGCAACCCCGACGCGAAACACAGGGAGAACACGACTTGTTAGGAAGGTAGACACTTCTAACCATTAGTTCACTACAAAGCCCACCCTTCTCAGAAACAATTACTCCAATAAACACAACTATACACTACAACCAACCCCCACAAAACAACAGTAACAACAGTCCCTTTTTGACCCGTAGTGTGGCACGCTCCCAGAGCCACTTTGCATGGCCACACCCCCAAAGATCCTCATGCAGTGTGGAGCCTGCGGTGGACCCACAATATTTTATCTTTATCGAGATACATTTTGTTATCGTAAGCTTTTCGGAGTGTATCGTGGATATCGCCAGGTACTAATACTGACCAGCTTCATGTTTCATCACAAAGAAAACAGAATTAGTTCCGCTTACCTGTGTTTAATGCAGTACAACATGTGGAACATTGAATAAACATCGTTGTGCCCACAGTTTCTAATTGGTTCATTGTGTCTGTGTTATAATAACATGTCGTGTATTGTAAAAGTATGTAAGTCTGGAAAGGCCATGAGGTGTTGCTATAGTTTTCTGGATTGTTATCTTGAGAAAATGAGTTAATTCTCTTGTGATCTCAAGATGGCAAAGTTGTTATCTTGAGATCACAAGATAACAACTTTTGATATCTCAAGATAACAACTTCTGTTATCTCGGGATCCAAGATAACTAACTTGTTCTCTCAAGAAAACAACTTTGTTATCTCAGGATCACTAGATAACTAACTCGTCATTGCAGAGAACTTTTGTTATTTTGGGATCACAAGATAATTAACTTGTTATCTCAAAAGAACAACTTTGCTATCTCGGGATCGCAAGTAAACTAGCTCGCTCTTTCAAGATTACAACTTTGTTATCTTGAGATCACAAGGTAATTAATTCATTATCACAAATTATCTTTTGTTATCTCAGGATCACAAGATAATTAACTCATTATCTCGAGATAACAGTCTAGAAAATTTTAACTACCTTATGGGCTCTCTGGACTTCCATATAAAAATGTTTTTTTAGTATCATGATATGATATTTTTGCCATATTGCCCACCCCTACGCTCTGTAGCTCTGTCCTTCACCTTCACCATGATTGCTATTTGTTGTGTCCCAGCATTAACATATAGAACTTTATTTATTTTTATAGAACCTTCATCGAAAGAGTACTAACTTGTTTAGTGCACTCGGGAACTGAAAAAGCATCTGACCTTAATGCAGCTCCACTCTGAGCCACGTAACAAAGAAGATGTCAGCAGACAGGCTCATATGCTGTGTGCTGCTTTGGTAAAAGAGGATGCTTTCAGTTGGGAAAAAGGACAAAAGACAGTGAGATTTCTGGGTAAAGCAAAGCAGGATACAACATGATAGAAGAAAAGCATTGACTTTGTTTTGTATTTAGCTTTTCAGCTCTTCAGGGAGCTGCTATTTATCGACAAAAGGAAAAAAGGTTTCGACTCGTGGGACAAGGAGAAGCAGCGCTTGTTCAGATCCTTTCAGAAACAAGACAAAAGAAGTTGCCTCCCAAAATATAGCTAGATTTCAGAGATAGAACTGCTGGGGTGAGATTTAGGACAGATAAGGCGGCTTTGTTGTATTGCTTTCTATAAGGACAAAAAGATGCTCGCTGGGAGAACACGTCACTGCTTTAAGGGTGTAGTGAAGTCTATGTAAACAGTGTTATATAGTGAAACATATCATTTCCTCCTCATACATGGATAGTAAAGTTTAGCTCCGCCCGTTCACACTGAAGTTATGTGGAGTGTTTCAGCCCAGACTACTTTGTGAATGAGGCACAATGCAGGGTCAGAACAGAGCTCATTTACGTACATCAGTCTTAAAGAAGGCTTTGTAAAGAAAGACATCATGATCCCCATCAATGATCCTAAGATTGAAGAATGTTCTCAAATACAATTTTTAAAAAGTTTTGAAATACAGTCAACCATAGCGTACAAACAGGAAATCTACCGTAGAGCAGACCATCTCATTTCGGTTCAGCCTTAGCTGGTCGATGCAGCCTTTGAAGGACACGCCTTTGTAGACCACATCCTTCGAAGGATCCAGCCCCTGAACTGGGACACACTGCATGTGGAGTTTGCATGTTCTCCCCGTGTCTGCGTGGGTTTCCTGCTTCCCATAGTCCAAAGACATGCAGTCAGGTCGGCTGGAGATGCCCCTAGGTGTGAGCGAATGTGTGAATGTGTTTGTCTCTCTTTGTCTTCCCTGTGATGGACTGGTGACCTGTCCAGGGTGTTTCCTGCCTGCCAATGAGCGCTGGGATAGACTCCGGCACCCCCTGCTATCCAGGTGGATAAGTGGCTTAGATGATGAGTGAGTGAGCGTTTAGTGCACGATGATGTAATCAAAAATCCGAAGGTGGTTTAGAGGCAGAGCAAAAGTCTTGACATTTTGAAGAAAGGTTAAAATAAAAATTCAGTTTTGTAAATGGAATGATATGAAGAATTGTGCTTAATATGACCAGAGATATGACCTAACAAGGTACTTAGACATCAGTTTTGTTTTCAGGCTAACTTTAAGAGAAAAAGAAGTTTCTATGATAAGGAATAGTAAGTCTTAAGCACACTTCTGTGAATCTGCTCTGTGGTCTTTGGCACAGTCGGCCTCAGGTGTGCTACAGTGGTCTGGAGGGCACAACAGCGCTGACCGTGGTCCTGAAGTAGAGGGCCTCAGGAGACCGGTGCTGTTCCGTGGTGCTGTAATTCTGCAGAGCAGAGGTATTCAGCTAAAATATTTGTCTCTTCCGAAGGTAAAATACATTAAATGCTTAAAAAATAAAATGTAATTAAAAATAAACAATAATTATTAAGCATTTCATGCTCTTGCGTTGTCAGGAAATAGATGAGCACACAGGTGGAGCTTACATGTTGAGCTTTGGGTTTATTTTTTTATTTGTCCCCAGAACTGGATTTTGATGGTAGGTTAATTCAAAGTGACTGTTCCTCGGTGGTTCTTAACATTTCTACTTTTGACCAGCGCAACTCTGGACAGATCAGACACGCCAGGTTTGAACTTGATTGTCACCTTTGCCTTTTTTTAACAAGCCATGTTCACTACTCGGACCAGAAATAGTGAATAAAATGAAAAAATCTATAAGAATATGTGGAATTATGTGCTTTTTGAGCTGATACATGCCCTGTAGTCTCTGTTCCGATGAGCTGCCTTGTGTGATTGGATAAACTACTGTTTTGCTCGTCTTTGCCAAACACTCCATAATTCCAGCGAGCACTGTGTGTAACACCACTCTTTGAAACTGGATCTTTGTATTCAGGCAAAGCTGTATCTCGTACTGCTGCATTTAACACTGTTTATTTGTTTGCACTGTATGTTGTGTCTTAGTCTTTTTCTTTGTCACAGCACCAAAAAGGAGTCAGGAATCTAAGAGTTTTCATTGTACAGTGAAACTTCACTTCTATCCGCCCGTAACAGTAAAGAACATGACTCAACTTGACTGATATAACTAGGCCACGTTTCATTTTCTTCTGTTAGGAAGCCGAGGGGCTGACACAGAGGAACGGCTGGTGGAGCATCTCCTAAACCCCGCCCACTACAACAAACTGATCCGGCCAGCGACCAACGGCTCGGAGCTGGTGACGGTGCAGCTGATGGTGTCGTTGGCCCAGCTGATCAGTGTGGTGAGTTATCTTTGCATTAAAAAGACTCTAAACTTTAGAAATCTTAGAGACATTAGATCAGCGCCCCCTTGAGGAGTAGTGGTAGTGATACTCTGGTAAATCAAGCACACTTAATATGGAGAAAACTATTTAAGGTGGCTCCCCAAACTGCTGTCACAAAGTTGGAACCATATAATTGTCTAAAACGTCTTTGTATGCTGTAGCATTAACATCACTAAGGGGATCAAACCCTGAAAAACAGCCCCAGCTCATTATCCCTCCTCCACCAAACTATACTGTTGGTGCTATGCGTTCCAGTAGGTGGTGTTCTCCTGGTATCCACCAAACCCAGATTCATCCATTAGACTACCAGATAGTGAAGCATGATTCATCACAGAGAACTTGTTTGTCCAGTGACAGTCCAGTGGCGGCATGCTTTACACCACTCCAGCTGACACTTGGCACTGCACATAGTGATTTTAGGCTTATGTGCAGCTGCTCAGCCATGGAAACCCATTTCATGAAACTCCCAGTGCACAGTTCTTGTGTTGATGTTGCTTCCAGAGGCAGTTTGGGACTCTTTAGTGGCTCTTCAAGGGTTCTTTTCAAAAAGGTTCTGTAGTAAGTGATGTAACAGAGGATAGGCAGTTTTAACACACTACGCACTTTAGCACTCGACAGCCCCACCCTGTGGTCTAGTGCTACATGGTCTAGCGCTGTGTGGCTGACTTGTTGTTGCTACTAGATGTTATAATAGCACTTATAAGCCTAATCTAAAAGGTGTGGAACTGACTTGTGGCAAACCTGAGCTCTTTAGTATGACCCAACCCATTCTACTGCCAGTGTCTGTCTATGGAGATTGCATGGCTATGTGCTCGATATTTATAAATACTTGAAGTTACTAATTAGGAGGGTGTCCACATACTTTTGGCCACATAGTTTATGTTTCATTCCTTATACAGTATTTCAAACAACTTATAAAGTATGCATAGAAGTAAACCTTGGAGATATTCTAACAGTTAGGAAGTGTGTACAAAATATTCCTTAGAATCCAGGCCTGCATTCCTAACAGACCATACTAGGAACGGGAAATATTCAATAAGGCAGTTCCTCACAATAATTCTTCTTGTTTGCAATTCTTCTTGCATTTATGAACAGATTTCCACACATTAAGTCTGTTCTTATTAAGTTACCAGAGTATCGCTACTTTATAACTCCTAAAGGGGGCACTAATCGGGGCAGTAATGGGGGCACAAGTTAGCTAAAATGAACCTGCAGTAAAGTTTTAATGTTTCATTTTTTTCCAGTATGTTAAATTCAGAAAATAAATAGAAATTGTGCACTAAAATTAGAAGAAAAATGGCATATTTAAGTGTGTTCTCTGGAACTTATTTTCAATTGTAAAATCAACAAAATACTTTTGACATTTGACATTTCACCAGAGAACACACTTCTGTACATTTTAATGCACTGTTACTGTTTATTTGGGGAAAGATAAGATGTAAAATGTGAGCTTTGCAAAAAATATGGCACATTTTATATTCTGTTTTTTTTAATATGTTAAATATCATATCCGATTTGTAGTCATGCGACCTTAATGTGACGCTCAGATCGGAATTCATGTGCCTTTTTTTTCACTGCGCGTGCGCCATCATTCAGAGTTACCATGGCAGCAGCGCCGAACAGAAGTTGAAGCCTGTAAACGGTGGAAAACCAACACATCTCACCTTTTTCACCTTCGTCTCGCTCTAATAATGAACAGCTAAGAGCTGTAGAGCTCAGTTTCTTCGCAGCGAAGGCTTGTTCTGCTTATTAGTTTGTTTGCTGATGATGCACGTGATTCACGTGAGCTTGCTGAGTAAGATGTGCACAAGGCACCAGTTCGTAGCCCATGTTGAGTGTTACCAGCTTTCCTATTCATTTTCAACCAGTGAACATTCTCCTCCTTTATAACATCTCTGGTAAAAAACAGCAAATAATTACAAACTGTTGAGGATGTTTTTGCTTATTTTCACTTCAGAAAATCATGAAAACATGTAATCTGACCCTGAGTGTTCAAAATCTTGCATAGCACTGTTTGAATCAGCTAAAATCCTCAGGTGTAAAAAGATTAGCTTGTATTGTCAACAGATTTAGAGCAAAATCTGTGTATCTTACAGCATAGGTTTGTGCATATTGTGTCTTTAATATCCAGTTTCCTTTAATATGATTTAACTTTGACGGATGTAGGGCATGTAGGACACACAGAGCGAAGCTCGTCAATAGTGTGAAATACATGTTTAAGGGGCTCCTTCAGTGTCGATCTGTTGATTATGTCTTGGAACACTATTTAGAATTATTCGTAAAAATTGCACATCATCCTGGAATTAATACATGGAAATGAAAAGCAACAGTAATAAATAAATACATCAATAAGAGAATAGATACAATGAATAGATAGAAAAATGAATACAGACACACTTAAAAAGATGGTTCTTCAAGGGTTCTCTAGTAAAGAAAATGGTTCTATATAGAACCATGAACACACAATAAACCCTTTTCATGATTAAAGTGTTCTTTGCATCATGAAAGGGTTCTTCAGATTGATGGAGAATGTGTTGTAGATGGTTCATTGTTCACCAAAAAGGGTTCTGCTATCCCAACGATGTCAAGAACCATATGTAACACATTCTCCATCAATCCATCAATCCGTTTTACCATGCAAAGAAACTTTTAGAAATGCCCTACATAGAACCATGGTCTATACTAAAGATCTTTTATTACCATCTTTTTAAAGAGTGTAAAAGAACCCTTTTTGGTGCTATATTAAACCCTTTTCAAAAAGGTTCTCTATAGAACCATCTACAGCACATTCTCCATCAACCTGAAGAACCATTTCATGATGAAAAGAACCAGTAAAACATTAAGAGGGTTCTTTGAGTGTTCATGGTTCTAGATAGAACCATTTTCTTTACTAAAGATCCCTTGAAGAACCATCTTTTTTAAATGTGCAGATAAATAAATACAATTAATTGAAAATACATCTGTAAATAGATAGATAGATAGGTAGAGAGATAGATAGATAGAGAGATAGATAGATAGACAGATGTACTCGAGAGCTGTGATGAAGACTGGTTTTTGTGGAATTAAAAAAGCCTCTATACCCACATAGTTGTGTGATGTAACTCTGTTTGCTCTGTCAGCTTCTCTCTACAGCGTTATTCCCACCGGCGCTGTGCTGCTCCTATAGTCCTCCTGCTCACTGAGCTCTCTCTGCTAATTTCCCCTCTATAGAATCCTCTGTGCCTTTAGTGCAGTGTAAATAAAGAGATGTCTATCCGGCCTGTTAGCTGGAAGCTAATGCCCTGTAATGTATCTCCGGGGACCTGCCTGACTGAAGAACAAGGCCATAATCTGTATGAGTTGAGAAGAACGTGTGAACCAGGACTGAAATACACTGTAAAAGCAGAGGTTGTCTCACATAAGCGCAGATGGCAGTCCTCTGCTGTTTGGCATTGGGGAAAAGCGCAACGCCTGGCTCGTCCAATCAGATCAGACCTAGTACGTTGTAAGACAATCATATCTGACCTTGATGTCAGAGAAGCTCTTCTGAGTGTTTCTACAGTTCTCTTCAAAACAGGTCATGAGCACAGAGCCATTAACACTAGTACTTTACAAGGAATCATTACTGGTCACTGCTATTATGATACACTGAAGTACTGATGGGTACAAATTACAGCAGTTTGTGTGAGTGCTGTAGCTAATCTTGATAGCATTTAGAGCCGCTGTTAGAGACCCTATCCTGGGTTACTGTCTGCTAAAAGCTAGTAGCGTGAAGGTGCCTTTTATCATCTGAAGATTTAAGATAAATTAGCGCATTTTGGATGTTTGTGCGGTTGTCCAGCTCATTTTCTCATATAAAACGATGGAAATTGTTATCAGTAAAGCTAATTTGACATGAATAAATTCACTTTGGCTTGGTAAGTTAAATCTTGGCAAGTCATTAAGGCATTTATGATGGGCTAATGTCTGAGAAAACTATTTGAGTTGCTAGTGGCGCCCTCTTATGGAGAATATTGTGCCTGCTAAACGTGAGCGAGTGAGTGAGTTGCAAGCCATGCGTACGGGGTGCTTGGCATCTAAAAATGGAGAAAAAGGATGTTGCTTAGTTAAAACAAAATTAGACATTGTGAAAGTACATTTTTGTCTGTTAAGACTTAAGTTCCACTCAAACAGCTGATGTAGTTGTATTTACAAGGGGGAAATTCAGGAGTCTAGATAATACAGAACAACCAGATGCAACATCTAGCTAACAATGATTTTTTTCAAAGCCACCATGCAGGAAACCTTTACCTGGCCTAATGTTCTGCCAGTTGTTATTACTGAGCAATTAAATGTGAGGTCAACAATTGTGTGTTTTGTTTAAACATGCATTTTTTTCCCTCGTATTATGTTAATAGAGGTAACTTTTCTATTGGCTTGGCTACAATGACAATGGCTAATAAGTTCACACAACTTTCAATTGAATGTACTTAAAGTGCTTAACACGTATTAGAATAATGTAAACTGTTCAGGTCTTAACCTAAACAAACTCATCAAATCATACCTTTTTAATCTAAAATCTCAAATTGCTTATATCTTCTAATAGTTAATTGTGCGACTAACTCTCATGGCGTAATCCTTAGGGTGAATGTGGTCATTGTTGTATCCAGCTAGCACAGGAGCTCACTCAGCAGCAAGGAAAATGCTACGTTGCTTTTAGAACCAAAAACAAGAGGCCAGGTGGCAAAGCAAAACGCTAAAAAAAGTACACGCCCGCCTAAGGGAAGGTAGCCTGGGGTGATGACAACCTGCTGATGGCAAGCAAAACAAGGTGGACAAATAGACCCACTATGCAAATAGATGGAGCCAGGAGCCAATGGGAAAGAAATAAGTTTTACCCAACAAGCTTGCCTTAAGCAAATAAACAAGTCTCTGTATTTTAATTAAACAACACAGCTCATTTAGTTTTGCTCAGTTATGCACATTTGTTGAGTTACATTAATGAGAGATAAGCAATCAAAACCAACAGCGGTGCACTTTGATTTGCTTGAGTGGCTGTGAAATTGATGAAATTGCAGTGAGTGGATTCAACTGAAAGATACAGTTTGAATGTAAAAATCATCAGAGGTAAATTTCAGTGTGAGATATTTACCGTTTGATGTGCAACAAAATGTATTTGGATTCAAACAAAATGTGGGATTATAATGTGGTTGCTCTCCTTACTATAGTGATGTCTTTGAGACATTGTTTCCTAGCTGTCCACCAACTTGTAACCAGGCACCCTTCTAAAATGAAATTCTGATGACACCACTGGGATGAAGTTAACCAAGTGGTTGCTAAGTGATTGCTATGGTGCTGCTGTGTGGTTACTAGATGGTTGCTATGGTGTTGCCAATTGGTTGCTAGTGGTTGCTATGGTGTTACAAAGGTGTTGCTATGGTTTCCCAGGTGGTTGTTATAGTGTTGCTAATTGGCTACTAGGTGGTTGCTATGGTGTTTCTATCTGGTGGCTATTATGTTGCTAAGTGGATGCTAGGTTGTTGCTATGGTATCACAGGTGGTCGCTATGTGGTTGCTATGGTGTTGCTAAGCTGGTGGTTGCTGTGGTTGCCTAGTTCACTGCCACCTTAAATTTCCTGCTACCTTAACTTCACTGCTATCTTAAATCATTGCTACCTTAAACCCACTACCACCTTAAATCTCCTGCTACCTTAAATACACTTCTACCTGTGTAGATAAATAAATAGAATTAATTGAAAATACATCTGTAAATAGGTAGATAGATAGATAGATAGATAGATAGGTAGAGAGATAGATAGATAGAGAGACAGATAGATAGACAGATGTACTCGAGAGCTGTGATGAAGACTGGTTTTTGTGGAATTAAAAAAGCCTCTATACCCACATAGTTGTGTGATGTAACTCTGTTTGCTCTGTCAGCTTCTCTCTACAGATCCTCTCTAAATCTCCTGCTACCTTAAAGGAGTTTGGTGTGTGTGTGGCGAGTTAAGTGTGTTTGTGGAGTGTGGTGAGTTGAGTGTTTGTGTTAGTGTATTTATATCATCGTGACACATGAATGGTGCCAAAACGTCTGCACTCCAATCATTCCTATGGGAAGAAAAAATCTCCATTGCTATATAGAAACTGCATCCATTTAAAAAGCTGTATATAAGCCCGAATCACACAATCAGACTGGACAAACTGGAGTTGGAACAATGTTAATAAATACCAAACAGATCTAGGCCGATTCACTGTATTTGGAATTAAGGAAAAATTGTGTACATTTGGTTTTGCTGACCCTTCCTTATCTTTAAAAGAGCTGTTCTCTCTTGTCTTTGTGTGTGTGTTTAGCACGAGCGGGAGCAGATCATGACGACCAACGTCTGGCTCACTCAGGTCAGTCTTTACTCACAAAACACGTCTCCCTCTGTTACCTCTCACCCTATGCACACCAGGACCAAAGGGTCTGTTGGGTGCATGCATGAATGGTCATTAGCACCTGAGGTATTGCAGGCCATGCCAGTTTTCTGATGCACACACACGCATAGAGCTGTATCATGCTTTCATGTTCTTCATGGTTAAAAATGTTGCTTGGCAGGAGTGTCAGTAAAATGCTGCCACAGTACCTTCACACTATGGCTGAGCTGCGAATGACCCAGTGTTACACCCACTGCTCAGCTGTATTGAGGGGGAGGGAGTTAAAACGTTATTAATTTAATGGTCTTTTTCGGATCAAAGCCCAGCAGAAAGTATGTTAAATCACCATCAATATCACTAGACATTCATTACTCTCAGTGTTTGTGTTTGGGTGTTAGGATGACAGCTATTAGTTACGGCTCTTTAACGGCCTCATCCAGTGTGTATTTAATCTGGGAAAAATTTATAGCCGGATGCACTTACTCAAGCTTTCTAATCAGACAAATTCAGTCTTCACTTCAGTTAATAGAACATGACTGGACACTAGCATTAGTACATGCAAGTAGTAATAATTCTGTTAGATCACTTGCTTGTGCGCTTTGTAAGGGTAATTTATTCTCTAGACTGTGAGTGATTTCACTATATTGGCTAAGCGGGGAACTATGTCACATTCTGATGTAATAGCATTATATATTAATGCTAAATTTGTTTGAAGTTTCAAATGGTAACAGTCACTTGTTTGCATTGTAACTTTCTGCTGAATTGTCTCTGCTGAATTTTGTGTACAGGAATGGCAGGACTACCGTCTAACGTGGATCCCAGAGGAGTTTGACGGCATGAAGAAGGTCCGGCTGCCCTCCAAACACATCTGGCTGCCAGATGTTGTACTCTACAACAAGTGAGTGCCAGACTCTTCTGGTCTGTAGGTTTCAGGGCTTCTGCTCTGTGATACCTGAGTGTGGGAGGTACCTGCCGCTTTTGCTAGTCCATTAGTGACCTGATTTGAATTTACCATAATTTAAGGGGTCAGTTCAACCTAATCAACACACACATGCACACACACTCTCCCCCCCTCCTCTCTCCTCAAGTTTCTGAAGATCACATTAATAACCCTGGAGTGAGTGTTGCCTAATTCAGTGAACACCAACCCTTCCCCTGGAGATTTGTGTTAAGCTGCATACCATCTTGCAAGCTCTCCAGAACCAGAGTCTGTTATGCAGTTTTCTGTGGACATGCACTGTGTGTGGCCACTTAAATCTCCTGCTACCTTAAAAGTGTGTGTGTGCGTTGGTGTGGTGTGTGTGTGGTGTGTGGAGAGTGTCATGAGTTAAGTGTGTGTGTTAGTGTATTTGTATCATCGTGACACAAGAATGGTTCCAAAACCTTTGCACTCCATTCATTCCTATGGGAAAAAAATCAGCAAAATTCCATTGCTACATGGAAACTGTGCTTCCAATCAAAAAGCTGTGTATAAGCCCAAATCACGCAATCAGACTGGACAAACTGGAGTTGGAACGATGTTGATATCTTGAAAACTGCTTTGCAATGCGCAACCATAATTAGCTACATTAGTCTTTTAGAAACAGTGCAAAACTAAAGAAACCAAGCAAATTTCATACACTGTGTGTGGCCCACTTAGGGCCATTATTTCATGTGTCTGTCGTTATTGGATTAAGGGAGTGGTGACCAACCCTCCTCCTGAAGATCTGCTGTACCCGTCTTCAGAGTTTAGTTTGAACCCTAATCTAACACACTGATTCAGCTGATAGAGCTAATCTTTTAGTATATCTCATGCAGATACTGATTGGTTGGATCATGTGTTGCAGACCAGGGTTCAAACTAAGCTCTGAAGAAAGGTAGTAGTGGCCTAGACAACTGCATATCAAAATTGCCCTGTAATATCCAGCTTTGGCTGCAAGCCCCATTCCCTGGCTGTGCAACCCTGGCTGTGCAATGCGTAATCTTGGACAAAAAATGCCCCAGCTTGGGCAAACATTAGCCAACTACCTAGGCTAGACTAGCTAGCTAAAGTTTTAATGAGGTAGCTCACTTTAATGTTAGGTAAATAATATGTTTAATAATGTGGGAAGTTTGTTTCCCAGTCTTGTCAGATAGTGTAAATTGTTTCAGAGTAATATGTTTAGGGTTAAAGTTATGATAACGTACTTCCCCAACAATTTTTAGGTAGTGCTTCCTCAAAATAAAAGGTTATAGTTACGGCTATGGATAAGGTTACTACACCACAAACCACGTTAGCTAACTCATATAGAAAGAGTGATTTTAACTTATCCAACCTCATGTGATTATGTAACTTCAGCTTGTCTTGTCTGAAACAATTTATTTGTGCAAATATTAATGTTAGCTACCTCATCGACACTTTAGCAGGGAATATAACTCACTAACCAGTTGGCTAAGTTCCACCCAAGCTGAGGCTTGTCACTCATTACTGGCATTGTCAGAGCCACAGGCCTGCAGAGTTTAATGTTTTTGTTTTAACATGTCTTATTCAACATAAGAAGGCTTGGTAATGAGCTTATAAATTCAAACAGGTGATTTTTGTCTTTGTGGTGCTCCAGGCTTTCAGGACCAGAGTATCACAATTCTTAATCTCAGTATTTTAGTGAATTCACCCTTATTCACAGCCATTTTCCTGGGTTCTCAACACACTGGGTGGGAACTGGGCAGTTAGCCATTCAGCAGCTGTGAAAAAGTTGAGCATAAATGCCCCCATTTAAGTTTGGGAGGCATTAATAATGCTCATCTGCATCAGTGGTTATCTGCAAAGATACCTTAGTGGACACAAAAAAAGGATACAGCAAATGGACTGAAGATTGCATCCACGGTGTTGAAAGTAAAACCTGGCACACGTTATGAAACATTACAGTTAGATAGGTACACTGTTTTTAAAACTGGATATGATATTAGTAATAAGTTAGCTGTGCTATTTTTTCTGTTTGTCTACATTGTATGAATCATACACTGAGAACCATTTGATCCTTCCACCCTGAGTGTGGCAAGATAAGCAAAACTCATTGAGTGCCACCTCACGCACCTCTTTTCTGTCTCTTCCAGTGCTGATGGGATGTATGAGGTGTCCTTCTACTCCAATGCTGTAGTCTCCTATGATGGCAGCGTCTTCTGGCTTCCTCCGGCGATCTACAAGAGCGCATGCAAAATTGAGGTGAAGCACTTCCCATTCGACCAGCAGAACTGCACGCTCACCTTCCGGTCATGGACCTACGACCGGACCGAAGTGGATCTGGTGCTGCGAGCCGACGTGGCCAGCATGGATGACTTCACGCCCAGCGGAGAGTGGGACATCATTGCCTTGCCAGGGCGTCGCAACGAAAACCCGTCGGATCCCACCTACGTGGACATCACATACGACTTTATTATCCGCCGCAAGCCGCTCTTCTACACTATCAACCTCATCATCCCTTGCGTTCTCATCACGTCTCTGGCTATTCTGGTCTTCTACTTGCCTTCTGACTGTGGTGAGAAGATGACCCTGTGCATCTCTGTCCTCCTGGCACTCACTGTTTTTCTGCTGCTTATCTCCAAGATTGTGCCCCCAACCTCACTGGACGTCCCACTGGTGGGCAAGTATCTGATGTTCACCATGGTCCTGGTCACCTTCTCCATTGTGACCAGCGTTTGTGTCTTAAACGTGCACCACCGCTCGCCCACCACCCACACCATGCCGCCATGGGTCAAGCTGGTCTTCCTCGACAAGCTGCCTGCCCTGCTTTTCATGCGGCAGCCACGGAACAGCAGTGAGCGCCAGCGCCTTCGCCAGCGACGCCGGGCCAACGAGAGACGGGAGGGCGGCCGGGGTGGCCTTATGGCCGGGCTGGGCCTGGGCGTCTCTTCGGAAAGTGGAGAGGCATGTACATGCTATGTGAACCGTGCCTCTGTCAAGCAGTTTGGAGGCGAACTGGGGGGAGGAGGTGGAGGAGGAAGTGGAGGGGGTTCCATGGACGGTTTGAATGGGTTGAGGGAGGGTGGGCGTGAGGGCAGGGAAGGGACCTCTACACCCCTGCAAAGCTCGGCACTGTCCCGGGGGAAGCAGCAACAACAACAGCAGCAGCAGCAGCCTCCCACAGCCCTCACACAGGCCCTGCTGGGGCAAGCCTGCCCAGGCTTTGAGGAGGCTGTGGATGGGGTGCGCTTCATCGCCAACCATATGAAGAGTGAGGACGACGACCGCAGCGTGAGTTGAAATCTTTACACGTATAGCTTGTACCCTTCTGTCAGAGATGCCTATGAATTTGGTAACACACTACGTATCCAAAAGTGTCCAGACACTTGTTTTAATGGATGGATTCTAATGAATTCAGCTATTTGAAGTCTTTAAAACACCTACTCAATGTTCTCCAAAAAACACCAACAATTCTAAATGTTGCTTGGTGTGCCCTCACAGTGTATGCTTGTTGGGAGTCTCCAGAATGTTCTCCCCATTTACACTGTTCTAAAATGTACTCCTCCAATTCACACTGTTGTAGAAAGTTCCCCATTCACACTGTTCTAGAATGTTTTTCTCCATTCACAATATTCTAGAATGTTTTCCCCCATTCACACTAGTGATTTGACTTCAGAGTTTATATTTTTTTGTAACAGTATGAAGGCGGTTACCAAGATTAGAGTGTTGCTGTCTGTTGGAGAATATTAGATCATGTAACTTTCAAAGCACATCATTGCCAGAAGGACAGAATGCTTTGGAACAGCTGGAGGGGAATAAAGCTCACTGCCACTGGACTAGGGAGCAATGTAACTGCATCCTTTGCAGTGATGATTTGGATTGGTGATTTCCAAGCCAGGCCTAATGGTTCCAGATCAGTAGCTGACCTCATTTATACTCCAGTGGCTGAATGGAATCGAATCCCAGGAGCAGCATCCTAAGATTTGCAACAACAGAGGCTGTTGTTGCAGCAGGTGGAGCCAACTCCCTCTTAATACAACTGAAACGTTTTGAACGAATATATTCTGGATATGTTTGGACATATAGCATAAATAAATTAGGGTTTTCATAGACTAGTCCACCAGTCACAGGACGCTAGCATGACTTAGAATAGCTGTGTGGTATACTGGCCACTGAGGATCATGCTCACACCATGCTCATAGGTGTGCAGAGATTAGAATGGCTTGACCATAAACAATCAAAGAACCCTTTGCATGATTTGTTCTTTGCATCATGACAGGGTTCTTCAAACTGATGGAGAAAGTGCTGTAGATGGTTCTACATAGAACCTTTTAAAAAGGGTTCTATATAACACCAAAAAGAAGTTTTCTATTGTTACAAGCTTGGCATCATAACAATACAAGAATGCTTTTGGTGCTATATAGAACGCTTTTCAGACGGTTTTATAAAGAACCATCTACAGCACATTCTCCATCAATCTGAAGAACCCTTTCATCATGCAAAGCACCATGTAATCAGGAAAAGGGTTTGTTGAGTGTTCATGATTCTATATAGAACAATTTACTTTACTAAAGAACCCTTGAAGAACCGTCCTTTTTAAGAACGTAGCATTAAGCATGGTAAACAATCGCTTGTTTCCCATCCGACTGATTAAACTGGCCCACAGAAAAGCTGAGACTCTGAGAGCTGTGGTTATTTTAGCTTGCAGTTTACATCAGACGGTGTGTGTAACTCTATAAGCACAGTGTCTGAGCCTGAAACTGAAACACAACAAAAACCAAACACTCTCCTCCTGCCCATCTCACACCACAAAATGCACCATCTGGTGCTATCTGCTCGCTCTCTTGAACTCTTCTTTTTTTATTTAGTGAACTAGTCAATTAGTAGTTGACTACTTTTTTGAATTTCTAGTTGACTAGTAAAAATGAATCGCTACTTGTAATAGAGAACACGGTTGTTTGAGAATGTGGTCAGCATACAACCGCAAATTTTACTAAAAGGCTATTCTGTTTTTCTTCATAAGTTTTACCTGGCATTAGATTTCCTCTTCATAGCTATGCTAGACTTTCGTTCATTCACCTTTGGGACCTGAATTTGCCGAAGTGTAAAAAATGAAGAAGCGTCAATTTGTAGTCATGCCCTTTGGGTTATGACGTGCTCCTGTGGAAAATGCATTGACCCCAACTGCCCTGTTCCTGTTACAGTAGCCCCAAGTGTATTGGTGTTTCTCTGTGGCAGTGACCCAGAGCTTTGTCCTTACTGAAAGAGACCACGCTGCAATGCCACAACACTACAGAGACCTAAAACTCAGCATAGCTTAATTTCTGCTTTAAGAAAAGCGTGCTAGGGCAGTATTTCTCATTAGAGATCAATATCATTACAGTTACACAAAATGTTTATACAGTTTGTCTCAGTTATATTATATCCAAAAAATCTTCATATGTGTTCATTGCATTTTACTTGCACATTTATTGCTTAAAATATGAGGTGTTACTGAAGCATTTATTGAGTAACACACAGTAATTAAAGTATGATATTTCCACCACATTGTGCTTAAAGAAAGGAGTGTCAGATTTTCTTATCTATGAATAGTGCTGAAATATGAAATATTTCGACATGAAATTTTAATTATGATTATCAGTTATATATTAATAATTATAGTTGTGGGCTGGTGTTTAGGGAACCAGCCCTGTGACCGGAAGGTCGCCGGTTTGATCCCCTGAGCCGACAGTACATGACTGAAGTGCCCTTGAGCGAGGCACTGAACCCCCAACTGCTCCCCGGGCGCTGCGGATAGGGCTGCCCACCTCTCTGGGCAAGTGGCAAGTGTGCTCACTGCCCCCTAGTGTTCACTAGTGTGTATGTGGTGTTTCACTGCACGGATGGGTTAAAATGCGGAGGTGAAATTTCCCCGTTGTGGGACTAAGAAGGGTCACTTAATCTAATGTAATCTATAATAATAGACAACAGATGATTTACAGGCAAAATAAACATCATTCAGGACAAATATTTAACCTACAAATTTACAGTGCCATGAAAGCATTAACATAATGTTAATGTGCTTATTAAAACATTCTGGACTGTATGGAAATTTAATACTCTGGTATTAATAACATACCCTGCTGTACCGCACTGCCAATCCTAGCTCTTTCTCTGTTTTCCCCTCCATCCATTTTTAATTGCCATTGTCTACATATAGTGCTGAGCTGCATAGATTGCACATGGTCACATGGTATCAATATACAGGGACTGTGTGCGGTTTGAAGAGGCTGGGATGTGGAGGCTGTGACAGGCAGTCTTAAAGCATTAAACAGCACAGATATGCGCTCGCTCCCCCCACGGCACTGCGCATCATCAACTCCACACTCACTCACTGGCTTTTAAATAGCATCCAGCATCAGCATACATGCAAACAAGGCCTCGCTTGTATATTTACGCAAAATGAGAATGGCAGACTATGGGATAATATGATAAAGATAATCTATTATCTGTGTACGGTGTATATCGCTGCTGTCGGAAGAAAACCTTGTATCTCAGTTTTTGTCATTTTTCAGTTTTAGACATAATTTGAAAATGCCTTTACATTGTGTGTAAATTTCATGATAATTGGACCAAAAGAAACGACCCAAAATGACTTCGAAAAAAGTCTGGTTCCTTTGACTTTACATTAAAAGTAAAGTATGTTTTTTCCTTCTCCTGTAAAGTTACCATTTTGGAGATATGAGGTTTTCTTCCAAGAATAGTGATATATCAGGGCTGTCATAATAAAACATCAGATCTCCAAAAAAGTTCTTAGGAGAACATTCTTAATATTAAAGTTCATTATTTTCAGATTTTATTCCGTTTCTTTTGGTCCATTCGTCAGAAATGTCATTAAATACAGTACGGTGCTGTGGTCTTAGGCCATCTGAGACAATGTAAAGCTGTTAATCTGGGCAGTAAGCATTCATTTGTTCAGTAAAAAATAATAACACTATTATTTGATTTTCTAAAAGAACACAGTTCTGCACATGGGAAAAAAATGAGACCTAAAATGTGGCCTGTGCAACAGTTATGGCATATTTTGTATTTAATGTTTTTCTTTATTTGAACATGTTAATCTTGTAAATAAATACAAGTTGTGCAGAAAAATGGAAGAAAAATGACACCTTTAAGTTTAGTCCCTGTAGAGAATTAACTTGTTTTCATGAATATTAATAATATATCAGCTTCTTTCTCTTTACAGTGGCAGCTTTTACAGTGGCTCCATTGTTTGTCACTGAAACACACAGAAATTCATTTTCTGATCTGCATGTTGCGGTAAATATTTCAGAAAAGTATTTTGATAATGATGAATGTGACAATAATAAGTTTATGATTGATTATACTACAGTGACATTAGTGTGGTTTAATGGAAAAGTTCAGCTCAAAAATTTGGCATCAGTGATATAAGATGTGTGCCAAATGTAACACCCTGGGACCCAATAAATTCACCTCACATAATTTCAAAAAGTGGACACAATTTATGTATTGTTACTGTTGGAACAAAATCTATCTCTATTTTTGTTCTTTTTTTTTACATTGTGTCAAAACCCTCATGACAAACGGACCAATAGAAATGGTCCAAACTGACACAGAAAAAATTGTTACATTAACTTAGATTGAAAGTTAAGAACATTTTTTCTTTCCTCTGTAACGTTCCCTTTTTTGGGATATATAGCATATATATAGCTGGATAGCAAATATATAGCGTATATATATGGATATGTATCATACCGAATTGGTTCAAAATCAGATTTGAAAACACATTTCAGATTTTAACTTTAAACTAAAATCACTTTGTTTTGAGTGACCTTATAGCTTATTTATGGTTATTTTATTAAAATAAATGATTCGACATCCCTTTTTATCACTACCAAAACAATCATAACACTACTGAAACTTTACCAAATGTTTCAATAGTAACGGTTTCAGTAGTGACAATTTTAGAACTCAAAAAACGCACAGCTTTGAATGGTTGCACACACATCATATTATAATATATTATATTTTTCATTCACACATTTGCCATCCTGTCTATTTTATATGAATGATAATACCAAATATTATTGATTGTAGACGCCGTGTTTTTAGTGTAGTAAGTTGTCAGCTTGGTGATGCCGCAGTGCTGTGTGAGAGGCTATCAGAGGAGCGGGGGTTCCCTTCAGAGAAAATTAAGAGGCCTTACTCATTCTGCCCATCATCTGGACCTCATTCCCCATGGTTACGGGTGGTCTCCATGCCGACCCTCTTCGGCAGCCATCGCCGTGGTTACGGTGCAAGTCCCTCCGCGTCTCACCTCATTAGAGCAGTGTGGCGGAATGAAGTCTCTGTGCACATTAACCTTTTCCCTGACCCTTCTCTCTCTCTCGTTCTCTCTCTCGCTCTATTTTCAATCCAACACATCTCTCACTCCATGTTCCACTCCATCATCCCTCTCCCTCACATTCCATTACTTTACCTCTCTTTCTTTCCCTTTATCTCTGCCTCTGTATCCCTCCATCCTCCTCGCTTTTCCTACTCTCCCCTCTGCTCTCTCTGTCACTCTTGCAGGTGAGCGAGGACTGGAAGTATGTTGCCATGGTGATCGACCGCCTCTTCCTCTGGATCTTTGTCTTCGTTTGTGTCTTCGGCACGGTAGGGATGTTCCTCCAGCCGCTCTTTCAGAACTCCTCCAAGGCGGTCGTCAACACGCCCGGCTGACTGCTCGGCCACCGGTGGAGAACTTTCGGACACTTCTTGGCCCCATTGGAGGCTGGACAGATGAAGGGAGGAGAGAGGGCCTGCCCAGGGGGAGGGGGACGGGGACTGTTTTTCGCGCTGGACTACAGACTGCGGTTATGATCTGCTAGGTTTATACAATGACTTTTTGGAATATCTCAACACCAACAATAACCATGCGTGCAGTTTTGTTTTGTTTTGTTTTTTTGTCCCTCTCTTCTCTCCAAACCTCCCTCTCTCCTCCCTTCAAGTGACAAACCGCACAAGCCAAGAGAGAGAGAGAGAGAACACCACACTCTGCCAGCCAATCAGCGTCATGAGCCACTATCACCCACAAAGCTCTGCCTTCTGACAGCCACCGAGCTTTACGGCTTCCTCAAGAGACTCATAACTGCTAATTATTTTAGGAGAGCCAAACAGAGAAAGGTGATCTTCCAACAGCTGTGCGAAGCCATTTCTATCTCCACTCATTCAGAACAGATTTGTTTCCCATAGTAGAGGCCTGTCACACTTTTAGCGCCATCGTTTTCTGTGTGATCACGCAAGCGAATGGTCCTTTTTGGGCTTTGATGCAGTATATATTATTCTAATTAACATAACCAGAATGTGTTATGAAGTGTAACCACTAATTACTATACACAGAAATGGATAGCGAGGCAATTTGAAAGGTGCAGTTGAAAGGAGCTGGGAATTGAGCAAGGAATAGCAGTTGCTACATGCTAGAGGATTTCTGGGGGAATAAGACGAGGCCCTGTCCGAGGTCTTTGGAGACGTTATAGCATGCTGGGTGATTGACCAATTATGTTCTTGTGAAAAATAGAGGCAACATATTGGGAGAATCAACCAGATCAGATTTGCAATAGTAGTTGTGATGGAAAAATGCAAGAGCGTCAGCATTTACATGCACAAAAACGCTTGGTTTTGTTACAGCTGTGATAGGCATATCAGATTTATGCAGTTTTGCACTGTAGGGCCTGACCGATATGAAAATTGTGTCACTGATACCGATACCAATATGTAAGTTGAGAACCGATAATATCTTTTTGGTTTTTTTGTCAAAATTAAAAAACAAACAAGTAGTTGCATTAAACAGTGCTTTACTGACCAGTATGATTGTAAATTAATAACAATGGCAATTATTATATACAGTCCTATGCGAAGGTTTGGGCATCCTTGGTCAAATTTCACATTTTGCTGAATTTTTTCATGAAAATAAGCACACGTTCTAGAGAGAACACATTTTACTGCATATTTACTGTTTACTGTTTATTTTTAATATTGCAGAAAAAAAACACAGCCTGTGCAAAAGTTATGGCACATTTTATATTTCATGTTTTATTTTCTCTAATATGTTAAGCAAATACATAGAAATTGTGCACTAAAATTAGTAGAAAAATGCCATAGTTGAGTTTGTTCTCTGTAGATAATGTGTTAATTATTTGATTTTAGAAAATCAACAAAAGTAATTTGGCTATTTAAACTTTTACGTAAGACTGTAAAATTGTGTCTTGACAAGACAAGTGACTTTCATATGTTCATATGGTGGTCAGGCAAGGCTCCACATGAGCGCGTCTGACAGTATGTTTGGTTGCTGTTTAAAATATCACATTTCTGAATGTGGTTTTCTTCTATAATACTTAAAGAGTCTTTGAGGGACTCACAACAAAAGTAGATAAATCCATGGTACCTTAATATTGGCTAATTTTATCAGCCAAGCAATATATCGGTCAGGCCCTAGATTCTTGCTCCCATTTTCTTTCTTCACATCATTCTCTCCTCTCCACACAACTCCTCTATTCTCCTCTGGTTCTAATCATACATCATACTTGTCTTAATGCAGTGTGCAGCTGTAACCCATGTTGCCATGTGTTATGAATGAACATGTGAGCACAGACAGTGTATTATTAATGTCTCTGGTCGAACTCATTTGCAGTGTTGGGTAACAGTACACTCCTGCACTATGTTTGTACCATAACCTTTTCCACACTGCTCTCGTCCTCTCCTTTCAACTGTTGTAGCTTCTCGCTTTAATCTCCTCTTTACCCTTTGTCTCAAGTCCCTCCCTTAGAGAAATATCTTAGTACCTTTATACTGAGTATCATAGTATCTTTATGAATATCGCTGGCTATGGACCATGACCAGGGTTCCCACAGAAATCTGGGCCACCTGCTTATTATTACGTGCCACATCAATCGCAAAAACTGAAGCTAAAATGAGGTTTATGATATTGCTGAGGGCTGCAGTGATTATTTGACAAGGTGGATTAGCCATTTACCCCATCCACATGTATCCAGAAAGACTTTGAATCTGCGTGAAATATCAAATTAGCAAAGGGCCGCTAATCGGTGTTAAGTCAAACAAGGGTATATGGTAAGTGGTATATTTTGTGCCAGAGGTCACCAGTCTTACCCATAAAGGACCAGTGCAAGTTTCCATTCTGGTTCAGCACACTTGATTCCATTAGTTGGTCTCAAGGTGTGCTACTGCTTAGTTGGAATGGACGCCTGCAGCCACACTGACCCTTTGTGGATAAAGCCAGTGACCCTTGTTTTGCACATCACCCACGCTCCTAACGTTTTTCTAGAGTTGTTTGACATCTAATTTTATGAGATATTATGGCCCCCTGCTCATGTGAGCATTTTTCAAGTCATTTTTGCATTCTCAGCTGGGTGAATTTTCAAAAAAAAAGATTGGACATTTAAAAAAACAAATCTCAAAAATATCCAGATGCTTGTGGACGAGGCCTTTAAAAACACTCTATAACGCTCTGTAATGTTCATATTATACATGTGGTTACTCTGACAGATTGCAATACACTACAGGAAGCATAGAGGGCGATATGGCTTCTGTTGATAACAGAAGAAATCTCTTGTTGCACAGATTTTCGATGATGTGCCTGGGCAAAGTAAATGGAAGTGGTAGAAACCGTAATGGTTCAATTAGTCAATTAATTGAATATCGTAAATGAACTGATTATAAAAATAATGGCTGCAGCTCTAGCCGACAGTATTTTCAGAACGAGTCCACTGCTCTGTTTTTGGCTTTGATCGGACTCTTGCTGTGATTCATCATTGTCCCTCTGGTGCTCTGGCTGACGGTCCTGCACCATGCATCATCACCGGAGGGATTCAGGGCAATCCAGCACAACTCCCTTAAAAGTAACCTTCCACTGACTAAAAATACCACTGTAAAACTCTCTGCTTTAAAATCCCAGAAAAGGACAGAAGGAAGAAGGAGGAATATCTTGCCAAGACCTAAACGTGCACCCCTATGCATATCTTGAACACACCCTCCTTACTCACAGCCTTCCTCTTCCTGACCCCTCACTTCACCTTAATCTGTTCAATAAAGGTTGGAGGTTCGTTACTCTGTGTGGAACATTTTTTACTTCTGGTTATGAGTGTACATGTTTAACTGAGGTCAGCAAAATGTCTCTACATTCTGTGGGTCAATTCATGGTTGGTATAGACCTCTGAAGTTGTGCGTTACTTTGTAGTCGGCATGTCTACAGGAAAAAATGAATGCTGTTTTTGAAAATCCCTGCTGTCGCCCCCTGTGGTAAATTAAATGTTCCAACTTGATGTGTTTTGTGCTGTGTATGTCCCCGACAGAATGATGACATGACTAGTGGGTAACACTGTTGCCCTCCACATTGCCGTCTGGGGATCGATTCCCCACCCAAGCAAGAACACTGTGCTATACCAAGGAGTGTCCTTTGGCAAGACTCCAAACACTACATTTGCCTACTGCTGTACAATGATGTACGTCGCTGAAGCATCTGCCAAATGCTGTATATGTGAATTTTGAAGGCAATGTATTATGAAGATTCTCCTGCCTAGACACAAGAGGAATATGCACCAGTAAGAGGGACACAACTATCTTATTACACAAGCTTAGAGTTTTCTTTAGGACAGGCATGTCAAACTGGGGACCTTCCAGTCAGAGTGCTGCCAGGATTAGCATTTACCCTCTGAATTCAGTTCATAAAGGCCTTGTTAATTAGCTGATGAGCTGAATCAGATGTGTTTAAAGAGGCAGTGTGCTGAAGTCTCCAGTGTTTTGGCCCGCAAGGACTGGAGCCTGACACGTGTGCTTTAGGAGCATCTGCTGAACCATCAGACTGGTGTCAGCTCATTATTCCATTACAATTCAAATACAGTTGATTGCGAAGAAGACCATCGATACACGTTGTGCCGACTACGCCAGCCAAACTGTCTGGTTCAATCATCTTCACTACGATATACAAAAGTCTCTTAACCCTAATTGCTAGGGAAAAAAAAACACAAAGGACAATCTAGTCTTTAAAACTTGAGCTTTATTGTAATGTGGAAGAATGGTCTTGCAGTGATCAAACACAAAAAAGCTTTTAAAAAACAAAAGAAAGAAAGGGAAGTGACAATATTCACATATTCAACAATGACCGTCATTGAACTGGATCTCACTCCCTAACTTTTCACTCAAGAATTTATTTCTGGGGGGGTCAAAGCAGGTCGCCACGACCTGTGGTGTGTTTTTTCCACCCATGGACGAGTGTGTGGTGTTACTCTGTACTCGTACGTGGGTAAGGATTGTACACATGCATGTCCCCCACCTTCCCTCCATCTCCCCTCATTTCTCATCCCTTCGCCCTCTGTCATTCAGTGGTCATGTGTTGGCTTGAGTTCAGAGAGGCAGGATGGTACCTAGTCTTTCTTGGTCGACTTCTTGTTTTCGTCCTGATGGTACTCCAGGAAGAAGTCGTTGCAGGCTACGGTGAGTGCCCCCACCAGGATAATGAACTCCGTGAAGTCCACCTCGCCGTCGTTGTTGGCGTCCAGGTCACCCATCACCTTGTCCACAGCATCCTTGTCTTGAGCATTCTGTTGGAGCAGAAAGATGTAAGCAGTGCTTGCACAGTCCCAGTCCCAGACCAACATGCCATGACAACCAAAGCATAGCATATTTTCATTTTAACTGTTTCTCACAGCTCATTGAAACAAATGCAACATCATTGAACAGCTCTACATGCTTGGAGGAGATCACTAACTGCCAGTTCTGTTACGTCGGCTAACAGATGCCTGTGTTGGCTGGCAGCATGCTGAGGAGGGGAGAATCTTAGAATCCACCCAAAGAGAGCGAGGACCGATATGCTCACGGATAGCTGTGGCCTTTAAATTTAAATGAATTCCCAATGATGGGGTCAGTGCTCAGGCAATTGCGCCACTTTGGAGCTCTACGTTTTTGCTATGTTTTTATTATTGTAGTTGAGCTAGAGAGAAGGCAAAACATGCTAACTTAGAATGCAAACCAAAAGTAAATGCAAGACACTGCATAACAAAATATGCACTTAAGACAAAAACAGCATTTTGAAGCAAACCAACATCTTCTTGGCCTATGTGTCTTTTTTTGGGTGTGATGTGCTCTTGATCATTGTTTTTCATTTTGAAACCTCCCCTTGATAGTTATTGGTCACCTGCACAAAGCTTCTGCCTGGCCTTCTAGCCGTGCTGAGGCCTACACAGAGTTTAAGTATACTTAGGACAGCGTGTTCAGTAGTAGTTCGATTTCATTTTATTTCTTTTGGT